AATAATTCGTTTATTTTCTCATATTAATTTTAAAATTTTTTTTTTTCAAATTAATTATTATTTTTTTGTTGTAATTATATTTAAACTTTTGCGTTGCTTAACGATTTTTCAAAATAATTTTTTCCTTAAAGCATGAAATTGCTGAGTCATTTGTTTTTATGTGCTCCTAGCTTAGTTCTACCCCTAACACATGCGCACAAATACTTTTAAGCTTATTAAAGATAATAACTGTATATTGTAATAAGCATGAGACTAGCCGTTTAGCAAGCGTTTAAGGCGTGGCAAAGCGAGCTGGGCGCGTAGGCGTAAAACTTTGTCAGTGCACGAAGCAAAGAAACGTTTTGTAATAAAGTTAAAGCAACACATATGAATATATTATAGTTTAGTAAACACAAGTAAATATAAATAAAAAATAAATATAAAAATAAAATTAAGAATAAAAACATAAATAAAAATATAATAAAACCGTATACATATATCACTAATGCTCGACTGATTGAAAATTTTTTAACCTTAATGTTAAACGCATAGTCTTTAATAGCAAACAATTAATAATAAACTAAATACGTACGAATGTAAGTTTATATATGTAACTATATGTAATTGCAACAACACAAACCACAATAGCAATGAAATTTTCTACACTAAATGCAACGAAACGTAAATGAAAATAAATAAGTAAAACTATACACAAACATACATACACGCATTGGTATGTATTGCTTGCGGCGACTATAAATAATTATAATTAATAATTAAAGCGCGTATGCACTTAGTATTAGCGAAAATAGTAACTTTTTAACGCAATTTTCAGTCACTTGAGCTTTAGCAGTGAAATTTCCACGGGCGACACGCACAATGTAGAGCCCCCGAGATATTCACTTTTTTATTCACCTATGTAGGTTAAAACAGCAAAAAAATGTATTAAAAATATATATAGTATATTTATAAAAAAAAAAATACCAATTATGCAATTAAAGTAAAAATAGAAACAAAACCACAGCGAATAGTTCATAGAAATGAAACTGCTTAGTTATATCTACAATTAAACGCATAAACCGTAGTAAAAGCAGATTAACGAAAAATAATATACCAATAATTGAACTTACTACACAGGCAGACATATTATGCAACACTTGCGAACATAATAAATAATTGCAACACAACAACAGTACACAAATATTAATTAAAAAACAAACACTTAGATTTTATATAAAAAAATAAAACTAATGTGAAGTAATTCAATATGCAATGACACGCATACACATATATACACAGGCATAAGAAATTGTGTGCGCACAGCTCTTGAATTTCTCAAGCTAATTATATTTTAAATATGATCCTTTACAGCATTTTGATTTTTCTTCCGTTTTTATTTGCCAATATGTAAATGTAGCATAATCTGTACAATTCGCACTTGTCAGACAAGAATTGGGCTTAAATCAATATTAATATTATAAATAAACTATAATGAATATATTCGCGCGTGTAATCGCAATTGTAGATATTAAACTGAACAATTATTTCTATTATCAATTTTTAATTTTTTTTTTTTATAACTCAGTTTTAGCTATAACTTAATACGATATTATATATAAGTAAATATTATTGCAATAATTTTTTATATTTTGTTCGAAATAAAAGRCGATAATAAATTATTGTATGAAATGTAAAAGTATGTGTTTTCGTTTAGTGGAAAATATGTATGAAGATCGCTGCCTACTCAGCATGCACACGCCGTAAATTTGGGTTTATTTTTCAATAGAAGAGTTGTAGAAGAGTTAGATTCCCAAAGGAAATATAATGTATAATGGTAAATGGTACTGTTTCCGAGAGTTCTTTCGGTCTTCAGTCATATTTTACACTGTTGTTTTTGTAGCAGAAGTGGTATCGAGGAATGGTGCAGACTGGATTGTCCTTGACCGGATAAAAATCCGCGTCGGTTTCGGCTACTGAGACCCGACTTTAGTGCGAACGGTATACATACATGTTGTTTAAATGAGTTAAGCATGCCCCACTTAATCCGGAAAAACTAGCAAACACGAATACTTGACGACACCACACGCGCACACAAGACAACTCTCCACACTTGTACATCCACCCACTCAGCATAAAGGATGGTCTCTTGAGCAGATACAACACATTCTTTTACACAATTCGTCCCATACAGTTCGCCCATCATATTTTCGCATATACACAGCGCCGCTTCAACACTCTACCGCAATTATCCAATTCGACGCCGATCGACAGCTCCGGAAAATCAGTATCTTTATAAAATATAAATTAAATTTATAAATAAAATTGTTTTAAAAAAACTACAGTATATAAAGTGTTTTTTATTTTAACTAGTGTGTGCTCCATAAGATGTTGGATACAATACAATACTGTGGTTGCTAGTGTAAGTGTAAGTTTGTGGCTTACGTTTCGATTACAGCCCGATTCTGTCCATCAAAAAGGAATGCGCATACCAAATTTCATTAAGATATCTTAAATTACATGTTGCAATAATATAAAACTATACATTTTCGAGTATGTATCATATATTAAAGCATCACCAAATACCCATTTGGGGTTGTGTTTAGTATCGCGGGGTAGCCCGACCCTGTTTTTCTCCATAAACGATACTTAACCGGCGCGATACTAAACAATCCCCCCCATTTGTTAGAAAATGTGAGTAGCTCCAAATCTCATACTCACTTTCAAATATTTAATTTATCTCCAAATACAGAACTTTTCAAAAATGTAATAAAAACTGAAATTCGAATTTGAATTTAATTTACGCATACATGTAGGTATGTAAAACTTATTCCAATGTCATTCCAAACTCGATTGCACAAAACAACAACGTTATCAGCTGCAGACAGGCTAGCTCTGTTTCGTGAGCATAATTGTCATATCAATGCTTTTATGACATTTCAATAAAGAACTAAAAATAAAAGAATTAAAACCTGTTAAATAAAAAATTTACAATAACAATATATAGGTTCAACTTTTTAAAGCTTTAAAAACTTTAACTCTTTCCCAGCATTCCATTAATATTTTTATCGATAACTTTTATATCGATTTAAATAGAAACAGCTGCTTATTGACATTCGCTTTACTCAATTAACAAATTAACACGGCATTGTTCTATACGAAATATTTTTGTTTCTAAAATTTAAATTATTATTGCAGAAATGAGTGGCAGATTAACAACAAAAACTGGCGAGATTGTCGCTTATAGTGAGGCTGCTATACGCGGAAATATTTCTGCTGTAGAATATTGCCGTACTTCCATGGCTGCACTATCCGGTTGTGCTGCAGGTTAGCGTCAATTCTAAAGAATTATTGTGCCTAAAAACATTCATTAAGACAAAAATATTTTTTGCAGGTATTTTGGGACTGAATGGACTGCTTGGATTTTTGTTTTACTTCTTATCAGTATTCGTTTTGTGGCTGTTGGTTTTGGCAAAATCCGGCACACAGTGGCGCAAATTTTTCATCAATCGCCAAAGTTTGCTCACCAATAACTTCATGGGCGGCTTATGTACATACGTGCTTTTTTGGACATTCCTATACGGCATGGTTCATGTTTATTAAAATAGGTTTTATGGTGTAGATGCGTATCACTTTTATATTGAACTAAGAAACTATATAGGACATTTAATATTCAAAAATACAACTATGTGTGTGTATACCCAGATAAAAAAGTGAAGTCGTTTGCCCTCATTTATATAAAATTTAATTGTATTTATATATAAACTACAAATGTATATGTACACAAAGTAGCGGAAACGATAGCTTCAATGCATAGTGATTCAAGAATGATTTATGAGAGAATTGCTGAAGGCATATTTTTAAACTTAGAACTCAGGAGGTGCGTACAAGCACAAACGCTAACTTTAGTTGTACCCCTACAACATTCTTCACAAATAAAGATATCTCGAAAGGTGAGGGGCTAGTTCGTTTTTATAAGGACAGACGAAAAATGAAAAGTCCTTCATCTCATTCCCTCGGGCCTCTGTAAGCTAAAATTACTTCACCTCTTTCAATTATTTAAGTCACTTTTATTGAACTAAGGAACTATAAATTAAATTTTAATTTTAACTAAATTCATACAAAATGGTAGATGGTATATTAAGAGTTTATAGCACAGTTGATTGACTCAAAAACAATCAAGTGGACACAGCAGAAGCGGCTGCGGCATTACCGGAACAATCACACCACGGTGTCTCTTTAATGTCACATTCGAGCAGAATATTCAAAACAGTTATCGAGATACCATCTATAGACATATCATGGACCTTCAATATTTGATAGTTTAAGGTATTCAGACCTGTTTGTCGATCACGTTTACGTGTAACTTCTTTTTGATTAAAACACTTTTGTGTATCGCGTTTGCGGTGATAACGATTGTGTATATGACTATAACAGAGTAAGTATATTAGTAGGATTTTGTAAAAAATACTTCTTTTTCAAATACCTAAATGTATCGTTGACCCCAGTATTAATATTATCTGGTCGCGTGACTCTTAGACCTGCGTCTCTAATACGCACATAGAATTCGTCATCTTCCAAGCCCCAACCCCAGTATTTATTCGACATCCCATTAACTTGTTTAAAATGTTCACAACGCACCAACAAAATACCGCCAACAAATGTTTCGTAGTGATACTTTGGATGTAATTCAGGTGCTGCTATATGATGTGGACCAGCTGCGCTGGGATATTTATAAAACAAGGCGTCGTTCATCGGCAATAAGTCCACATCATGCATTGCAATGTAGTCATACACTTCACTTGTGAAACGAAAACCAACATTTATAAGAGAAGCACGGTTAAAACGATACCGGTCCACTTGATTCAGTAGAAATATTTTATGAACTATTCCTTGGCGTTTAAGGAACTTTGTCATGTGTGGCACAAATTGCAGCAATTCTTCGAATCGATCACGAAATGGCACTAACACAGCTAACTTGTGCTCCGCTTTCAGCTCAGTGCCATCTAACTCAGAATGCACATTGTACAATGCGGAGCTTGTCTTCTTTTGACCGCGGCTAAGTGGACATATGCAATCTAAGGAAATAAAAACAATTCTGAGCACATAACCATCAATATTTTATAATGAAGTAGCATTACCTGAACCCAAAGGCATGAAACTTAGCACAACTACTCCCCCCAAACAAAATGCCAATCCACACACAAATAGCCAGTTGATAGTTCCTATTGACAGCATTGTATCTTTCTTTTTCATACCACTTGTAATTGCTTGAAACACACCTTGGCCTTATTCAGTATCATTCTCAGTGATAACTAAAGGATTTATTAGTTTTATAATGTCTCCAGCATGAAATATATGCTACTTTTATTTCTAACAGCTAAAGTTTATTAATAACTAAATGAGAATAGAGGTTAAAATTAAATATTTTGTGCCAGCTGATTCAGAATAAAGCGTTGCCATCGTTTGAATCTATTTGTTTATGAGTTTAGAATATGTTTTGGATTATGTAGGGCGTTTTGGCATTATGGGAATATGAGAATGAACATCGTGTCACTCAGTAGATCTATGCGTAAGAAAGGGATGAAAGGCCACTTATGCAAAGAATTTCGTTACTTAACCGATAGTTGGCTTGCTATAACCTTTATCATTTTTGGAAACTTTCCCCAAAAAATAATGATAGAGGAGAGAAAAGAAAATACCGATTTCGTCCTGCGATGTCAACCACATAAACGTCAGATTAGAGACTTGGTTATTGAATTTTATATGCAGCGAGATAGCATTGTAAATAGGGATTATTTAAAATTTAACAGGTCTAAGCAGAAAGGTGGTCGAAATGTACCCCAGGGGGTCTGAAAGTTTTGAGGAAAAACTTGCGAATATTTAGTAACCTGTAGGAATTGCGGAGGTCGTACTGAATTTTTTATAAGGCCTTGAGCATACGATCCCTATCGTGGCATCGGGTGTTTTGGCGCCGTTAAATATTTATTTATTCTAACAATTTATGCTTTAATGCAGAACCAACCACCATATCAGTTGGTATGATGAATCCTACACATCAGCTGGTAGGGTCATGTGTTGTCTCAGCAGCGGTGGAACACCCAGTTTGCTAACGATATCGACCACAGCTTTGAGGAAGTCTTGTACTACTACAAAGCACAGTGATTACTACTAAGTCCCCGCTAATAACTATCGCGGGAACCTATCACCGCGAATACCATTTAATTTTCAACAAGGATCAACATGGCCTTGATTGGAATGTCTTAAAGACGTAACGTGTATCAAGAAATTCTGTAGGAGAAACCAGAGGTCATATGTTATCGTATCTGCCGATCGAAAACGTTATTCAATTCAATATTTAATTATGCTACTGTCGGCTAAGCTTTCCCAATACTGAAGTGTCGTGGTCAACCAGCAGTTGAGTCCAATTTTTGACGGTTTTTGTGTTCACTCTCAGCTATGGCTGTTAAATTTTCTCCACTGCGGTTTTTCAGTAATGAATGCTGGGTCTCTCGATGGGTGACGGTGTTGCGAACAGTATGCTCAGTAGGCTGATTATGTTGACCAAGAGTTGAGCAGAACGTGAATTTTTTTCTCTCTCATCAATATCGAAGAAAAAACACAAGTAAGCACTCAGAGTGCTTTTATAACAGTGTTTACTGTATTTGTAATAAAACAGGTATTTGGAAAATTTATTAACACCATGCTAGTGAATTAACGGCTCATGTAAACTATGTAATGACCGTTTACGTTATAATTTACTTAATTTACACGTTATATAACTGTATTAGACGTTGTGCGGAAAGATTACACCTTAAAATTACTAATAGATCTATAAAGATAGAATTGAGCGTGCTTTCGCAGAAATATTAATTACTAACTAGGCATTTGCACACTTACAAGTGGGAGATTAAACAGTTAGAAAATGACTAGAGATCCTTATTTAATTAATGTTTTTTTTTGTTTGTTTTAATTGCGATTTAAGGTCTGTTCCACAATTATAAACCGCCTCATTATTTGAAAATAATTACACAAATTTTGCGTACAAAATTGCAATCAAGTCACGTCTGAACCAATGTCTAAAAATTATAAAGTGAAATTTTTTCTTTAGGGGTCGTCTGGAGAGATAATGTGCAATCTTAAAATATGTATACATACCAACTTTGTTCTGAAATAACTTCTCAAAAAAACCCATCGACAATTTATAGGAAACTGGGAACATTCACCATTTATTCACACATCCTCACGGTACAATTCCACAATTAGGCGCAGAAAGCGTGCACAATAAAGTTTGTGCTTTGAACTTATGTTGTTCTGCCTTGAAAACTTCCACATTTAAAATTTTCGAGCCAAATTTGGTTCAACGACCCCATCGTTGAACAAAATTTGAAACGATGGATATGCACAAGCAAAATTGCCTCATTTGAAACGAAGGGCAACCTGAAGGGATTCAAGAGCTACCATTTTATCTAGAAAAAAAAACAACGATTTGGCGTGGTTTGTGGGCCGGTGGACTCGTCGGTCCATATTTCTTCAAAAATGCTGTCAATAAGAAGGTAACCGCAAATGGTGACCGTTATTGGATTTTTGATTTGAAGATTGAGTCATATCACATCGCTATACTTTTCCCTGTTGGGTTATGTAAGGTCTAAAGCCTATGCGGACAATCCCACTTCGATTCAAGGCTTGGGGCAAAGCATCATGCAATATTTTTCTTCAAATAAAATGTACTGAAAAAGGATTCTCCTTTTGTGATCTTGGCTTAGGTATTCTTGTTCCTTCCAATTTGAGATAATCATACGACTATGATATAGCCAATGCTTACTATACTTTATAATGGTCAATAACTGCTTGGAGGTGTCATTATGATGATGTGCTTTCTAACTTTCTCTGAACAGCTTTCAACGTTTAATTTCTGTAATTTTCATGGGCTTGTGAACGGTCGCGCCAGACACATTCAGTCTTTCCGCAAACCTTCGAGTTGTTTTTCGACGATTTGCATTGACCAACAATTTGATTTTATCCAAATCGGCTTTAAGACTCCTTTCATGAGGTGGTGCATCCTCAATGTTGAAATTACCGGAAAGAAATTCTTCTCCAATCCAAAGAATTCTCCAACATCATCTCCGTAAACATCACGTAGTTTTCGTCTTGCTTGATATGCATTTTTACCCTTTTTGCTGTAAAACATCAAAATTTGCCGAAAACACTGCTTTCGTTCTTTCATCTTCGATAGGAACCAAATAAAAAATATTCTAACAAAACTTAAAAAAAATTTTAATTATTACTGACTCATAAATTTTGCACTTGAGCATACATTTTTTATACCCTGAACAGGCATTTCGTAATGCTAGTAATTTGAAGACAAAGTCCGAGGCTCTATAAAATATATAGTCAGTATGACGGGCTGGGTCAATTTAGCCATGCCCATCTTTAAATATGCAAACTAGTGAACGAACGTTATTAAAATCTTCTATAGAAAAAAATTTAATTTGACGAGCTATCTTCAGCACATCTTAAATGGGTTGTTATTAAAGGCAACGGTGCAATATCCGAAGAAATCGTTTAGTTAATGTTGTCGTGCATCTGGTACAGCTCATCGCTTCATCAACAGCGGTCTTGTCCTCGTACACTACCAGACACATTTGCTTCGCTTTTCTGCCCAACGTGGAGAAAGCAGAACTAACGTCGCGATACGTTGTTTGCTCATTTTACTAAATCATTCTAATGCTTCTTCTGGTTCCGCAGCAATGTCATTGTTTATGTTGAGGAGAGCTAAGCCGTTCAATCTTTGCTGGGGCATCCTTGTTCTGAGCCAAGTCTTTCGCGTTCCGGTAGTCTTTTGCATCTTCCATTGTTGTTGCCAAAGCGATACTTTTGCCGTGAGCTGCGATGTTTGCAGTCCTTTGTTTTCTGACGATATTTGCCTAGTAAAACGTCTAACAAGGCATTCACTGAGTGCAGTTATGGTAGAAGTCTTCACAGCTTTAAGATGAGTGATTGTTTCGATGATTTTGACGACCTGGTTTTTTTTATTTCA